CAATAATTTAAATAAAAATTAACATCGAAAGCAATAGCAAGTCTTGTAGATATAAAAACGGACATTTCTACCACATTCCTTCTCCGTTAGTAGATTATTTCAGTTTTATATTTTATCCACGCATAAATTCTTTCCGTCAGAAAGTCTCTTTGTATCGGAAATGCTTAGGCTATGATACCAAGGTCTTTTATCTGACAAAGTTCCTTGATGATACATTATTTTAAAATCTAAGTTGTGGAGGCACTCAGCTGTATCAACTGCAATGAATAATAATTGTAGGCCTATTATATATCAGTAACAAAACCGTATACCTGCCTTTCTTTCTTTATATGTCTGTTATTTATTGACAGAATGTCTCACTCAGCTAATTTTCTGGTTTTTAGGAGAGTCTTTAAAACATGAGCCCAACTGCAGTACAATTTACATAAAATACTTTAAAATATAGCAGTGCAACTCAGATTTATGAAATAAGAATGACTAAACATGTCTTTAACAGTTAAGCAATATTTTTTTTCCGATTTTATGTCGTGCGGTAAAGAGTTGTTTGTGATATTGCGTCGTAGCGACGAAGTACCCTCAAAACCAGGAAATAATTATGGTTATCGTGAATGTGCTTTCCTTCCTCAACTGAGAAACTTCAGTCATTATTGTTTCTACTGCTGGTTTTAGGAGGTTAGACCGATAGAAAACGTTGATACTGAGCAGTGTACGGTACATATTTCGGCTTACCTGTAGTTAACACCTTCCTAGTTAAAACCAATAGTATGAAGATATTCTCTATTGTGTTATCGGAAGAGAAAAATCTATAAGCACAGGCATTTTGCTCATAGGCTGATAAAATATGAATTGCCGTTTTATATTTCTTCTATATTTTTCATCGTTATGTTCCAGCGTGAGTTCTAAAGGTAAGACATTCGTAATGTTGTCATATCACCTCACTTTACTTTTAAATGATCTATAGATAAATTATTTTTATCCTAAAATCTTGAAATCCATTTTACTAATAGACTCAAAGTTTTAACATGTATTTCTGGTACAAATTTGGAAAAAAAATCCCTTAATTTTCTCATTAGCAAACTTGATCTAATTTTACCTAATGAGCATGGTTTTTCAAACGAAATATCTTGCGTTTCGGGCACGCACTGCATCGTACGACAGTCCAACTCCCTGTGATTACTAGACGACACACGACCTGTCTCTTATACACATCTAGATGTGTATAAGAGACAGATTCTATCCCTTTTCAGTCATACCTATCCACCAGATTAAGACACTTCAAAGTAAAACTGTTAATTAGATACCTTGCTGTGAACAAACTACTTTTTTCAAATTGGTATTATTCATTTTGATAGATGTACATTTTCTGACATTAAGAATGAGAAAATTCAACATTTTTGGGTGGGAATATACTTAAGTTGTTAGAATTTAACTTTTAGATACGGTAATCCTTTAGAACCTACAATTAAAAATGATGGTTTGGGATGCTTAGATAATAATACGTTTAAAGTTAAATTTTGCAATTTTCACTGAAAAATATTACATCTATTCTTGTAGGTGCAAACTCAATAACAATGCTTTTGTAAAAATGCTAAACATACAAAGAGAAACTGAAAAATGTATTGCTTACGTAAGAAATACTATTAATAATCAATGGAAATGTACCGTAGATGGGAAAATATTAATATGTTTCAAATTTTGTGACAACATTATGTGAATGCAAAACTCAATAATTTGGAAGATTTCTTGATATGAAATCTACTGAAATACTTGTGCATGCTTTAATTTCATCTAGGTTTGATTTTTGTAACTCTCTACTTTTTGGAATCTCTGAAAGACTCGTTAAACGTATCCAGCGCACCCAGAACACTGCTGCTAGGATATGCACAGGGGCGATGAAATATGACCACGCTTCTCCCCTACTTCATAAACTTCACTGGTTGCCAATCAAGCAATTGTTTTTAAATTGTTAGTTCTCACCTACAAAGCGATATGTTTTAGTCATCCGTCCTACTTAAATGCCCTGCTTACTAAGTATACTCCATCTCGCCGTCTCCGTTCATCTTCTCGAAATCTCCTTTCTGTTCCCAAATATTCTACCAAAACCTATTTTCAATGCACATTCTCCCTTGCCTCTGCTTTTATTTGGAAACAGCTTCCTATTTATATAACTACTTCTTCTAATCTCTGCAACTTTAAATCGTAAATTAAGACCATATTGTTCTCCGAGGGTATCACACTTGCATAGTGCGCCTTTGATTTTTTTTGGAATTGGCGCCTTATAAATTCCTGATATTATTATTATTAGTCTTATTTAATTTGTTTTGACTTGATGCAATAACGGGTAGAGTTTGCGAAGAAGGAAAATAAAAAAAATAAAGCTTTACTTTAAATACAAATCTATGCAATGTAGTCCACTTGGATTTATATGGCGCTTTACCGAAATATCAAAGTGCCCGAGGTGTGCACTAAAGGGATCTTCGTGTCTGAGCTACTCGTTAAACCGGCACCAGCAATCTCTTGTCTGTCCACAGCAGGGGCTGTATGAAATTATCGTAACATTTGTATGATGTTTTAATAGAAGATTAATTAATGACAGTGGCTGAAGAAAAATAATTTTAATATTATGTATATTTAAAATCAAATATCCGCATATAAGGTGTTGGGAGTTCTTTAGTAGGTCTATCGCTTTTAACAGATGTGTATAAGAGACAGTCTCTAAATATTCAAAGAAAAATTCATTTAGATATAGGTTTTCTAAATTATTTTTAATTGGTCTTTGTATTTCCACAAAGTTGGAAAAGGAGTGTGCAAGTGGTGGATGGGGATGCCAGTGAACAGGATGAACTTCTATTAAAATTGGCAAAAGAACCAGGAAAGTCGGTAAATTAATTCATGATAAGTGTGTTTAGGTCTTTTTGAAAAAAGGGACTTCAAATGGAGTAGAATCTATTCTATCCCTTTTCAGTCATACCTATCCACCAGATTAAGATACTTCAAAGTAAAACTGTTAATTAGATACCTTGCTGTGAACAAACTACTTTTTTCAAATTGGTATTATTCATTTTGATAGATGTACATTTTCTGACAATAAGAATGAGAAAATTCAACATTTTTGGGTGGGAATATACTTAAGTTGTTAGAATTTAACTTTTAGATACGGTAATCCTTTAGAACCTACAATTAAAAATGATGGTTTGGGATGCTTAGATAATAATACGTTTAAAGTTAAATTTTGCAATTTTCACTGAAAAATATTACATCTATTCTTGTAGGTGCAAACTCAATAACAATGCTTTTGTAAAAATGCTAAACATACAAAGAGAAACTGAAAAATGTATTGCTTACGTAAGAAATACTATTAATAATCAATGGAAATGTACCGTAGATGGGAAAATATTAATATGTTTCAAATTTTGTGACAACATTATGTGAATGCAAAACTCAATAATTTGGAAGATTTCTTGATATGAAATCTACTGAAATACTTGTGCATGCTTTAATTTCATCTAGGTTTGATTTTTGTAACTCTCTACTTTTTGGAATCTCTGAAAGACTCGTTAAACGTATCCAGCGCACCCAGAACACTGCTGCTAGGATATGCACAGGGGCGATGAAATATGACCACGCTTCTCCCCTACTTCATAAACTTCACTGGTTGCCAATCAAGCAATTGTTTTTAAATTGTTAGTTCTCACCTACAAAGCGATATGTTTTAGTCATCCGTCCTACTTAAATGCCCTGCTTACTAAGTATACTCCATCTCGCCGTCTCCGTTCATCTTCTCGAAATCTCCTTTCTGTTACAGGCATTAATATCATCACCATCGCCAAAGGAGCCAATGGCCTTGTAGATCACAACATTGTCTGCATAAAGTAATTTATTAGATTGTGTGGAAAACGGTATGACAATAGTAAAATTGTTGAATAAAACGGGACCGAGAACACGGTCAACCCTGAAAAAACGTGAAAGTTGAGATAACCCCATAAAAGCAATTCGTTGAGGCCTACCCAAAAGAAAAGATAAAACCAGTGCAAAACAGGGTCACAGAGCCCAACGTTTGAGTGCCTCAAGCAGAAGATGTTTACTAACCCGATCGAAGTAAAGGCCTTAGTAAAGTCTAAAAGGAAGGCATCAATCGGTGATGAGGTTCGTTCTTAGAATTTTTGAATTTGCTATACTATCTTGTTAGTATCGAATTGTATGCTTACACATTTTAAATTTTTGTAATTAGCATCAATACTTCCAATAAACACTACATTTAGTGTCACTGCAAGCGTCGGAGAACGTCTGGTGATTGGCTTTACTGGTCTGGAGTCCATTGCCAAAATTAAATGGAGAAAAAATGATAAAATCATTAGGTCATCTACAAACGCAAACACGTTGACTTTTAACTCGATAACTGTGGATAACGCGGGAATATACGAAGCATATCCAAGCGGACAACGGTTGCTAAGACAGCATTCTTTCATCAAAGTTATTGTTCGAGGTAAATTAAATGTTTATATATTTTCTAATTTATAATATTTAAATTTACAGACAGGTCTTTATTCATAATGTTTCACAGTATTTAGTAGCCAGTGGTGCGAATTTATATATGTAACATAAAATGTAGAACATTTTTACCCCAAATTAATGATGAGAGTAGCATTACAGTATTGCGATAACGTCTATTTATTACTAATCTCAATGATTTAATTTCTGGATATTTCAATACAGACTACCGGTATGCCTTATTTTTTTTCCCTTTTTAGCTTGTCCGTCGGGAAAATGGGGACCACCGACTTGTTTAGGAGTATGCGACAACTGCTACCACGGAGGTGTTTGCGAAGTGGAAACAGGAATTTGCATCTGCCCTCCTGGTTTTATGGGCAGTAATTGCCTTACAGGTTTAATATATCATCACATTGATTCTAATTAACAATAACAAAAATTTCAGATATTTTACATTATACACACATACATACATAGGTCTACATACATACATACATGCATAATATACACACATGGGCCTACATACATACATACATACATACATACATATATAGGCCTATGTTTTTTTTTGTTATGACATTCGCCTTGACTGCAAGAAGCTGCAGGTTCTAATGCAGGGTCAGCCCACATTAGTGTTATGTAGCTGAGCCCTGGAACTGTGATTAGGCCAAAAAAAAAACAAAAAAAAAATTATTATGTTGCGGCCAGACGCCCGACCGACCAAAATTTTACGAAATTCAAGGTCGGCATTTTATTTATTTTTTTCTACAACGAACAATATCTTTGTTTTTTGTGAGCTAATAAGGCTGTAATAGCTTTGGACTATGCTAGTGGGCCATGGCATAGCCTATTTTGCTGCATGGTACCCGATGCGAATAAAAGATTGCTGTTTTATTTGTGTATTTTCTACTGTTTTAAGGGTAAACGCATTTTTGCGACCTACCGACCTACCCATTTTTTTGGATTTTCCCAAAACGTGGCCAACACAAACATTTATTATTTTTTGGCCTTATGAGATGGTTTATCAATTAAGAATCCTATTAATGTCTGAACTATTATTTTATTATATTATCAATTAAGAGTTCCGTCATCTATTCCAAACTATTATTTATTAAGACGGTAGCCTGACATAGTTTATGGTCGTAGGAAAATATGGCCGGAAAAATATCCCAGTAAAAATGGCCCACGGTAAAAATGGCCCCAAATTACTGAATTTTACCATTGGGGCCATTTTAACCTGTCTTTTAGGGCCATTTTTACTGGGGCCATTTTTCAGTGATCACTCTTTCTGGGGCCATTTTTTCCGTACACTAACGTTTAAAGTTAAAAGTAACCTTGTCTTCAATCATCTATTCCAAACTATTATTCATTAAGACGGTAGCCTGACATAGTTTATGGTCGTAGGAAAATATGGCCCCGGAAAAAATATCCCCGGAAAAATGGCCCAGTAAAAATTACTGAATTTTACCATTGGGGCCATTTTAACCTGTCTTTTAGGGCCATTTTTACTTTGGCCATTTTTTTCAGTGGTCACTCTTTCTGGGGCCATTTTTCCCGTACACTAACGTTTAAAGTTAAAAGTAACCTTGTCTTCAATCAGTAGACAAGGACACAGAGTGTGGCCACATACAGGATAGCTCTTAAAATAATGTAGTCTACTGGTAATTTATTAATTTTATGGAATTAATGATATTCAAGTGAATGGTGTATATTTATTGGTAAACACATTATGATATATCAATGCACAGCAGTAGACTTATTACCAAAAGGTCGCAAAGGTCTCACAGAATGGCAAATAAGCATCAGTAAAATATGAGTAACGTATGGATTACATGTTTATTCAATTAGCTTGATTTATTTACTAAGCACTACTTCTAGAAAAGCACTTTAAATTTGTTGCATGTTTGGTTATTTTTCACCTATTTTTTTTAATACTGCGCAAGGCTAATGCTACGCCTGTTTAAATTAAAATCTCTGGTACTAATAGTATTCTTTGACTTGTCTTTCTTTTTAATCACAATTCTTACCACAGCGTGTGGTGGCAACAGATTCGGATGGAGTTGTGAAAAAAGATGCACATGGATTGAAGATCTCAAAGACCAGTGTAGATTTCAGATTTGCCTCCCCGATCCGTTTGGATGTCAGTGTGCTGCTGGCTTTACAGGCATAAGCTGCAATTCCGGTAAATTATTCAAATTTTACATTATAGCTTTATACAATATGTTTGTTAATCATATTGATTTTAATTTCATTTTATTTTTGTCACTAACCATGATATTATAACATTTCTTATTAGATAACAATTTGCCTCTCTTCACAACAGTGCTGCTGCTCTTGACTCACTCATGTGGAACAGAAATAATCTTAACACACCCTCGCTCATTTTAAGCTCTAGAGCAAACAATTCATGTGGTTGTGAAATTTCTTGGGGTTCTGTTTTTGTAAAATTGTTATAATATGTTTTTACTCATTATATTATCTGGCTTTTCGTGTCCTGTACATATAATTAATTTTAATGATTTTGTTCTTAAATAGGCTCTATATAAAAATGATAAATATACATATACATATACTGTTTATGTCTAACAGAATGTCCAGCTGGAACTTATGGGGCTGGTTGCAAACAAGTTTGCCACTGTAAATCAGCATCATGTAATCGGTACACCGGCGCATGCTCAGAGTGCATGAACTCATGGAATGGGGAATCATGTCAGAGTAAGATAATCATGATTTCACTTAATATGCTGATTTCAATGGCGACCATATTGAAATAATTATAATTTTCAGTGACAGATCCAGCAAATTGAATTGAGGTGATTAGGGAGGGAATTTTATAGATGCAGGATGCAGAACACCTCAGCGGGAAATGACACTTAATTTAATATAGGCCTACTTTTTTCCAATATTGTTCAAACTTTATAAAAACATTATTGGGGGGTGAAGCCGCCTTTGACTGTTGTAAGTATGTTGCAATTCTCTCCAAAATATTAGAAACTGCGGTACATATTTATGACCCCATATGTTTTACATGTTTCCTGGTATGACCTTGTTGAGAGAAATAGGAAGTGTAGAAAGTGAGTCGCATTTCCGCTGAAACAATTTATATTTTCTATTGCATTGTAAACAATTATAATGGTTTTTTTTAGACTCATATCATAAATATAGGTGCTACAAATTGACTTTATATAAAATTCGTTTTGTGCATGGTTTTTCTTTAAATTTAGAAAGCAGTTTAGTCATTTTACCCATTGTAATCTAAATTATAGCAGACTCGATTTCGTCGGTACTTGAATATTTTTTTTTATATATAATTATCAGTTCCTGATGTTTGTCCTGATGGTTATTATGGAGATCAATGTATTCAAAAATGTCACTGTAAGGATGACAAAAGTTGTGACAAAGATACTGGACACTGCATAAATGGCCAGTGCGCAGTTGGATATGCCCTTTCAGATGCAAGCATTTGTGAACGTAAGTGTTTATGGTTAATCTCCCACAAGCCAACACATCCTTCTATGTATTTTGTTCCCCGCTTACTTGTTATATTGACCTAATATATATAAAACACGTCTTCATTATGAATGAATTATTACTGTCATTATATTCATCATCATCATCATCGTTATCATCATAACCATCATCATCATCATCATCATCTTCATAATTATTATCATCATCCTTTAATTTTTATCATCAACGTGGACCTACTTATCATCATCATGTTCATTATTATTATCATCATCATCATCTTCTTCGTCGTCGCCATTATCTTCATCATCACTATTACCATCATCACTTTCTTTTTCTTCTTCGTCATTGTCATATCTTCAAAATCTAAATCATCATCATCATCGTCATCATCATCATCATAATTACCATTATCCTCATCATTATTATCACATAGTTGATAGCACGATGAATGATTCGGATGCCACTAAAGCTAGTTTCACGAAAATAAAAACATTGGAGTCAAATGTCATTGCCATGGCAATCACTGATTTTAGAGAGTTAGATCTGATTTTAATTTGCTCAGAACATCATATATTTCAACTTTATTTCAAAAATTGCATTGCAATTCATAATATTATTATTGACACCAGTTTTTAAATATCACCCAATGACGTGCAATGAAATAAAATTGTACTTGGTTTGGGAGTTATGACGAACGTATCAATGAAATACCTTTAATTTTAACATTCTGTATATATAAATTTAAAGTGAGACTTGGTCTTACAAAAAAATATCCCTGGTCATTATTCACATACGAGTTGGAACAATTGAATAGTTGTAAATTTTTAACTAATACTGATTGACCTTAATATACTGTACTTTGATAGAGCCTTACGATCTTAATAAATGTTAAGCTTACATTGCTAATCGTCACCAATGTAAGCGCACAACTGACATAAGAATTAAAGCTTTCAGTTAGTTATGATAGTTATGAAAAAAAAAGATAAAATAGGCCTAATAACAATTGAATTCAAAAATGGATGATTTGTCTTTCAATGCTTATTTTTTCATTAAACTTAATATGATCATTGTATTAGGCTGAACGAAATGATATAAAGGACCGTTGGTTCAAAAGGAGTAAATAATGATTTATATAAGAAATAACGATAAAAAATATAACAATTAAAGTAGAAAGTAATTGAGGTGGGTAAAATCCACACAAAAGGGAAAGAGATAGGAACCTCGGGTGAAAGTATGGTGCGTCCTAGACGGAGACTATTGGTATTATTATGTTTAATGTTTATTGTTAAAAATAAAAAAGCTGTAATTTTGTTTTTCGAATGAACACTTTGTATATCTATATATTTTGTTTGCTATTCGTAGACAGTTAAGTTGTATTAGTAATTATATACCATATTTTTCACATAATATTGTGTAGAAAAATTGTGGTTTTCGAAAAGTAGTAGAATGACTCGACTACTGCAATATTAGGAACTTAATGTGTACTTTTTCCCCGAATCATATGACCTATTTTCCGCTATTTTAAAATGATTTTACATGACCAGAAAAAAAATCCTTGCCAACAACCTGAATACAATGTTTGTAATCACGTTCATCGTGCATACAAAACCTGATGTAGCTAAAACAGAATTCTCAGTAGTTGTTATAGTTGTTATAACAACTCCATGGTCTAAAGGAAAGCTCATTTACTTTAATTTGTATTGTATAATCAACGTTGATACATTTGACACACTATCAAGAAATTGATTGTAGTTTTATAAATAAACTCTTATTAAGAACATTAAAATTATGTTAAATCTTGATTTTGTTTAAATTTAAAACTGTAATTGATTTTTATGTATTCCAACAGCATGCGTGGGGGATTCATACGGTGATGGTTGCAATGAGACCTGTAATTGCCCTTTGGATTATTGCCACAACGAGAAAGGTTGCTTGAGTGATTGTTTCGATTACTGGTTAGCGCCTTCGTGTACTATAGGTAGGCTGGACACTATAGTTATTTTAGAGGAGACCGAAAGATAAAATGACAATATTATGGCGGTAACAGTGTAAAAAACAAGAGGAAAAGGAGTAAGGGCAGAATGCTTTACATTCACCCAATTTATCTACTTAGTAATTGAGTGTACCATGTCAAGAAGTATCATGTCCAAAGTAGCTCTGTGAACGTAAAACTAAATGAAGTAATGTTAATACAGGTCACCAACATAATTTGTAACGGCACAGAAGCATATTCAGTTAATTTCCTCAATTTCGAAATATGCTTTTGAAAAGATGCCCTATAGGCATTGTTCTTACCAGTTTTGCTCAAGAACAGAGAGAAACATGTTACAGAGTGGACGAGCACCAGGCCCGTAGCGTGAATTAATTTGTGGGAGGTTCGTTTCAGTGGAAAGTGGACCCTTTGTAAACCATTATACAATAACTAATATTGTTAGCTGGGAAAGCTTAAGAAATGCCGACTTGAAATACTTCTGGTCTGTATGATCTCCGATACACTGGAGAACATTGTAAATATATCTACGAATATCAATTTTTCGTTTTTAAATGCGGACCTTCTCCAGTTTTTTGATGGTTCGTCGTAACCCCCTTAATCTCCCCACGCTATGGGCCTGAAGCAGGTTTGACAATAACTGAACACAGATGTTAGTATTATTGCTTAATAATGACCAAATCACGCAATTCGTATGTTATTTTGTGTCTAAAATACAGTACATTTATTGGTAAAAAATATATTTATGTGCTAAAACGTATTTATTATACATAAACCGTGTACGGTATCAATTATTGCTTTGAGACTTCCTCTCTAGGGATATAGGCCTATACGAGTGTGTGCCTGAAATTTCCAACCCGCCTCAACTCACTATAGTTGGTGCTGAGCAGCGGTGGCTCCATTCAAAAGAACAATTTTGGCATAAAAATGATATTGATTAGTGAAATATTGATCTGGCCAACCGGGCCGCTTTCTATGACCTTGTAATATAATAATAATAATAATAATAATAATAATAATAATAATAATAATAATAATTATTATTATTGTTATTATTATTATCATCATTATCAATATCATTATCACTATTATCACTATTATTATTATTATTATTAGTATTATTATTATTATTATTATTCTATCAGGGATTGTGGCCGTAGGATATGACAAATGTAATTCCGGCGAACCTACAAACTTTACTTGTTCAGTAACCGGTAACATAACTGGAGTCGACGTCCGTTTACAATACCAAAACAGTCTCTCATCTTCACTATCACCAGTTACACTATTACCAGTTACAGTGGAGACAACTGACGGTATTTTATTGGCCAGATTCATTGCCGATGCAGATATTACACAGAATTACAGGTGTCGGATTCAAGATGGCGAGTACTGGACGACTCGTGCTTTACATTTTGACGTTTATGGTAATGTAACTGTTGATCCATTAAAAAATGAATGTCGAGATTATTAAAATCTTTTTCTTGGATAATAAAATCCAAATTAATTATTAATAATGTGTGCAGTTAAAATTTTGAGCCAGTGGTAGATGTCTATAGACATAAAGGTGTGCAGATTATATTATTTCATTTGCTGGGTCTGTTGTAAACTATATATAATTATGCTTAACAATTAAAACATAATTTATATTTTTTGTATAAACCACTGGATTCATAAAACAACATAAAGATCTGCCTGGCTATAATGGCAAAGCGTCTGTCTTGAATTCAACTAACTCATCGGTGACGTTGAAATGGCGACCGTGGAGCATTGATAAAGGAGACACGGGTGATGGTCCAGTTATTGATTACGTCGTCTTCTATAAACGATCACGGGATCAAGAATGGAACTCTGTCCCCAGTACATCCGGAATGACGTCAGTAAAAGTGACGGGATTATCGGCAAATACTGAATACGAGTTTTCTGTGGCAGCCGTTAGACCATGCACCGGAGGTCGTGGAGAAATGGGCATGGTCTTAAATTCTACCACTCTTTGTTCACGTAAGTCATTCTTAATTACCTGTATTTTGTAGGTAAAAAGTGTGTAGTATTTCTTCAATTCAAATATTTACATTTTTAAAACACATTGACTAACACTGCTTAGGTCTTTCACAGCTCCTGGAACACCATTCACTACACTCACAAGTGGTGACATGCTGAGGCAACTTAATGTCAATTGGTCGGTACGTATTTATAGTGATGTTTAAAAATAATTCCGTTTTTTGTAATTGTAATAACCGATATCGGTATAATACCATCATCATCGCCACCAATCGTATCGTCTTCAATACCATCACTAATATCAACGTCATCAAATAAAAGTTGTCATAATACAGTTATCATCATCAATACCATCATCGTCATTCTCACTATCATCTTGTTAATCATAATGCACTTTGACTTTTCCCATCCCACGGTAAGTAACAACGTGTAATTTAAATCATAGGTTCCTCATGTTGATACCGATTGTCCGATCACTTCCTTCACAATTTATTATTCTGAGCTTGGTTTCGAAGATGATGAAACCCACATTGTTGTCAACGACACTGTCAGAGAGTACACTATCTTATGCCTGAATGCTTTCACGGCTTACAACGTGGAATTAACGTCAAGAAACAAAGATTTCGAAAGCCTCCGATCTTCAAATATGGCGTATACAACTGAAGAAAGTAAGCAATAATGTTATGATATTGACAAAAATTAAGGAACCTTGTAGGTATATTGACCCACTTATTAGGCGAAATATCTTCTGTAAAGTTATACAAAATTTAAGTTATGAATTACACTTCAGTAAGAAGTCTAGCATGATGTACAGAATAAGTGTAGATGTTAAGATGTAGGCCTACATTTCTGATGAGATTATTTTAAACCAAAATCGATTTCTCAAGATACAACTCCTCCACTACATAGGTTCATTACGCTCAGTAGATCTAGTAGAATTGTTGGTCACTTTTAAAAATGCAAATCGCCATAAAATTAATTTCTTCTAAGTGTAATAAGCCTGTTCTACAATAACCAGCAACGATATATAAATTTTCACAGTTGCTTTTTTAAACATGTGCAAGTATATATTATATGTTTTTGCTATCTTCATTGTATTGTTGAACCAGAAAAACAAATATCAAATGCATTGTGATGACAAAATAATAAATGAATCTTGAATATTATTTCATAGTTATCACCATTAAAAAGGTACCAGTACCGTTGCAAAGAAACTGGTCGACAACACTCAATACATGAATTATAAATTTGATTGATTATTGTTCGTTAAAAATGTTTTACGTATTATTTAGGATAGTTATCAGTGTTCACATTTTAAATACAATTGACTTTAAAAATAGAAGCGGTGCCACCAATAGTTTCCATGTGCAGTGACTCTCCGATAACACTTCAAATTGGAACAAACAGTATGGGAATCTTTGGCAATGTCACGCACTTTAACATCAGATATAGAGAGGAAAATGTCAAAGACGAAACATGGCAACTGGTGAAGCTAGCTTCAAAAAATGGTTCTGCTACTTGGATTGGGAACGACCTCACAGCGGGAAAAGTGTACGTGTTCGAGGTACAGTCATGTAAATTCTAGCCAAATACCAAGTAGCTTTCACAATATTCTTACTCAGTATTTATACCTATCAGGTTATTTAATAGATCAGTTGGTAGAGGAGCCAAACGGTTTTATTTTCGAAAAATATTTAACATGTAATTAAGAATTTGTATATGCGTCAAAGAAAAATGTCGATTTTTTGGCGAGAAAAGTGCCTAGTAGTACAGTAATTGACAAATAAATATTATCATGAATAACGCATTTACTTTTTATGTTAAGGTCAGGGCCGTAAACCGCCTTGGTGAAGGCCGGTGGAGTAATACCTTTTCTGCCATCTCACGCAGAGGTGAGTAAAATGCTCATACACATAATTACAAGTTTAACAAAAGCATAAACTTAATTTATTATAAAGTGTATTATAACAAAGAAAAATATAAATTATAATTATTCTATCATATAATCTAATTGGCTGTTATACAACAGGTATGGCCTAGGGTCTTAACCTTTTAGCCTAATGTCAATTTTCCGACCCCCCACAACTTGGTAAACATAAATTCCAAATATTTAATATTGTAAATGTTAAAAAGACAATGAAATCTTTGAATAGTGATCATAACTCCAATGCTCTACAATATTAGTGCGACAAACCACAGCAAGAAGAAAGAATATGTCAGTTTATAATTTAGACTTGATTACTTTTGTCGTCAACGGTAGGTATATATCCGGGGCGTGTGTAAGACTTTGCCAGTATGACAGTGTACAACCATTAGCAAGTTTTTAGAATATGGCAGCTCTAAAAGCCCTGTATTTACACTCTTATAATTTAAAATGTTTTTCTTATTGCATTTACCATGTGATTGAACCTAAATTTGCGCGCATACCTTACCTTTATGTAGTGTTTAGATATAGTAACCATATTGATTATTTTCATGTAAGGTACAATTCCGAACCTCGTTGTCATCATATGTATCTCTCTTGCTCTTCTGATTTTATTGATTTGCAACGCTTTCTTCTTGATTTGTTGCTGGTAAGTTATATTTGTATATAAATTACATTACTTTATCTAATACTACTAATAATAATTGTAGTAGTATGAATTATAAATAAAATAATGCGTTATTTATATTGCGCATATTGCAATAAAATGCCATGCTATGTCCATTCACCATTTGACCAGTTGTTGGCAAAGCCCACAAAAACCGACCCAAAATCCAAAAACAATCTAATGTGAGCATACGATATTCAATCATAATGAACAATATAAATAAAGACAAAAAAAGTTTACATTTTAGTTTGTGCTTATCAAGTTAGAATCTCTACCGAGTTCCAGTAGTATGTTTTGATTTTTTAACGTATATAATGTACAAACATTGCATTATTATTGTTTATAGCCTTGTCGTTTCAGTGATCAAATTTTCTTTTTATGCTGTGTTCTTCGCTGTAAACCTTTTGTTGACTTGTGTATTTTTATTTAATTCAATCTCTGGAAGTAATGTTCTAATGGATATTGGATGATCTTTATTATTTAAAAAAAATGTTTACAACATTAATTAATAATTGTCAATGTAATTCGTATTCTGATGTTTATGTTCTTTAATTTAATACTCCCAAAATTACAAATCAGCATGGTTGCCACTCCTCGTTTCAGGATAATGCGACCTGTTTCTAGTAAGGAATTGGAACAGAGCAGAGATCATTTTTCAATGAAAAAAAAGTCTACACTGGAACAGAAAAAGGTAGAAAAAGAAGCGGTAAAGAATGATGACACAGAGAGCTACTATAAAGAAATAGACACTGATGATTTTGAGTACGAGATCCCCAAAGAGGCCGTTAACACCACAAGGTTGATTGTATTGATTGTATATTATATATCACCGGTTTTACAATTACATTATAATAAACATCTTACAAGTTTAGGTTTATATCTTACACTGTTTACTTTATCTTTAGTTTACTTTTTGACAAATGAAAATATTAAGAATATAGAACGACCAAGAAAACATGCTGAAAAAATGCAAGACTTCCAATTTTCTGACCTCTCATTAGTACTAAGAACACTTAGTCCAGAAAACCATGCAAGATCCGACGCACACACTACATTGTTAAATTCTCGACCAATCCGGCACTCGCTTCAGACAACCCTTAACCCCTAACTTAATCATGGGTTGCGCCAGGCCCTAACCCCACCCCCCATCGGGGAGAAAAAGCACAATTCGCCGGGGAGAAAAAAAATTACATGTATTTTCTACATATTATTAGACTCTAAAATCGATTAAATAAGCCTTTGAAACCCCTATTGTCAAAATTTTCGAGGCTTCGCCCCCTGGACCACTTTCGAAACCTTTTAATCGTCGAAGCTCGACCACGCCCACTTTGCTTTCGTCGAGGAAATCGGAGCCCCTGGTTGGGACCTCCCCCCTCCCCCGTCGGGCAAATCCTGGCGCCACCCCTGAACGTAATTCATGTGTTTAATAGTAAGTATACCGTAAGTAAAGTGCTATGATGTGCAATGCAATATGTGTATTATGTATTGAACAAGATTCTTATTTTAATTTCAGGATACTGAAATCTGCTAATGATGACCGTCATTATTCTGAACCAATTTCAAATGATTATTCAGAAACAATGTTTTCTGCATATGAAGAGGAAATCGTAGAAAACGAAGTGTTCAAGAAAGGTGACACAGAAAGTATATATGAAGAGATGGATAATAAGGACTACGAGACGTCGATAAATACTTAAAAGAAAGTGGCGTAATACAGGGCATTCACTGCGTCGTATGACCGTCGTACGACTTAAACTCCGCTGATTATCGGTGGCAGTCTAAACTCATCGTCATTAAAAACGATCCGTCGCACGTGCGTCGTGGCGTTGCGTATTCTCCATTGAATCGAGTCGGCCGGCGGGCGCCGCCTGATTGCCCGGTATTACTGTGAGCCCTCACTGGCTAAAGCCGGAGTCCCAGACCTTAAAGTGCAGTCCGGGATATACATTAACCGAAAGGTCCACTGATTAATCTCAGATAAGAAAGTATAATACATACTCCAAGTATTGAAATACACGCCATCGTGTTGGGATTCAATATTTCGACATTAATTATGTCATCATCAGGAATGAAAAATTATCCATATTAGCACGCTTATATGCACTAGCACCAAAAGTGTTTAATCAATCAAAACATTACCTCTAGTAGGTGACATAGCAGTGATTTAAACAAAAGATCAAAGCATTCTTACTCCACTGATCAAAGCTACCTAAAAAAACAAAGAAAGCTCCTTTGAAGTCTGAGCCCATTGTTAAGCAAAGGGTGTTGTCTACGTATAGCAAACGCTTCTTTAAACAATAGGATAGACCAGTTTCGGGAGCTGTCAATAATTTTAGTACTAGAAAATATTAAACCTAATTTATTACTTACATACAGACATTATCATTTTCAAGTATACCCTGTAAGCCTAAAACATATTGGAATGCCTCACAGTTTTTAACATGGTCAAATATAACACTATCAGATCGTAAAGAATGTTCTTTAAGTCTAGTTATTAAGCACCTATTTGTGTTACCAATATAATTACTATAACAGCCTGGACATTTAAAATATCAGAACTTCTGTACTCCTTTTAGGGGTTTAATCTTTAGTAGATATAAAATGAGAAACATTTTTATACTGCCATAAATTTTACCTCTTTAATTAAGTGTTTCTTTCCTTTATTTAAACATCTACGTAAAATAAATTCACCTGGATTTCCTAGATAAGGCAATCTAACCCAAATCTTAATCAAGCTATCATCAGTAGGCTTATGTATACATTTAGGTTCATTTAATTTATTAAGTACATTATTATATTATGGGGCATGAGTGTTGTTCCATGTGCTTAATACCACTGACCGGGGGTAATAATGTAAAGCGCAGAGGTTAGTCTACAATATGCGCTATATATTATTAACAACTTTTAAAGGGTACCCATTCCAAGACATAAACTTCCTAATGTTACTAAGCTCTGCTTGAAATTTATCTGGAGTACACAATCTATGGGCTCTAGAAACTAAACTACGAATCCAGGAGATCTTATGGTTCCATGGAGCAAAGCTATCATAATGGATATATTGACCTGTAAGTGAATTTTTACGATATATACGGTACCGTACTCATGTTTCCTACACTGTTGTTAAATTGTAAATCCAGAAAATGTTCTATGTCACTGTTTTCAAATGATTCAAATGTAAAATTAATCTGTCTATGAAAAGCATTAAAGTAGCTTAGAATTTGAGGAAAATCATTGGGCTTCTAGTACTAGACTTGCCACAAGTCTCTTATACCCAGTCAGCAGCATGCAGACTGGGTTTTGTTTCCGAGCAGTTTCTTCTTTACCCAGTCAGCTGCTGACTGGGTTTTGTTTCCGAGCAGTTTTACACAGTCAGCAGCATGCTGACTGGGTTCTGTTTCCGAGCAGTTTCTTCTTTACCCAGTCAGCAGCAGCTGACTGGGTTTTGTTTCTTAGCAGTTTCTTCTTTCTTTCTTTCTTTCTTTCTTTTAATTAAAACTTGGTCAGTAGGACCGGTGCCACCCCCCATTTATGTGTTGTTCACAACTTGCGGTCAAAAGTCACATAAGGTGCATTAGCGTCAAAAAACCAAAAATCGTATAAAAGACTACTTGTCTCACAAATAACGTAGCACAGTCTTTTCCTTTGCACATATACATTGGCATAAGGCAGGATCTATAGGGTGTTCAAGGATAAGGGGTCAAAGGTCATTAAGGGGTAATTTTTATCTTTTTTCTGGCAATAATAATAAGCAAAAGTTTACCTGACCGTTTTCAAGAGGGGAAAACCTTGAATTTTGAAGAACAAAGTCATTAGACACCTAGCTCAAAAGTCGAGAAAGGTCATTTCCCTCCATCTAGAAATCAAAACTTTCCCGGGGGAGGATCCCCGTATCTCCTTTCGTTTTTGGAAAAAATGTTGACCCCCATATCTACGTGATTCATATTCCCATTCATCTTATAAGTGCCCCCCCCCCAACTTTGAAAAACGTTCCGCCGGCCCTGTTTAGGTCTTTTTTTTCCTACCAAAAACACCCTAGGAGAGTGCTATTCATAAATCCACTTAGTGAGAAATACTGAGAACACTTGTAATTTACTCAATGTTAATATACAGTAGCGGATTTTTGTTGTTTGACGACTTTTTGACGAACGGATTTTAGATATTAGATTTCCTTTTTGCGGATTTTGTGAGTTTTATGCTCGATATTGCTGAGAAAATTTATCTTTTGAAATGGTGTACGTTTATGAGCCTTTGCATGTTGTCAAAGATTATGTTTGAGATGTTCGTCGAAGAGGCACTAAAACCCACAGCTGTGAGTAGATGAATTATTATTTTAATGACACATTTTATAGTTGCATATTGCAGGTACCCTGTATATTAAAATTTCTTTTAAAAGACATGCACCTATTTTTTTTTTGTTTTTGTTTTTGTTTATTTATTTGCTACTGAAAACCACCATGCTATATAGTCAAAATCGACTTAATGCAAACTCATATTCCTCAAATGTGCTGGGCTTCATGGGGGCTTCGCCACCTTGCACCCCACCAGGGGCTCAACCCCTGGACCCCGCTGGGGCCCTAGGCGGCCCCCCTGGCCCCCAGCCTAGGCCTGCTCGCATCGCTCGCAGGCTGCGCCCCCCCCCCCTTTTGTGGCAGGCTGGATCCGCCCCTGGCTTGCGGGGTGAAGCGGTTGTTTTCTATCAGGTGACCCCGTTCATACGGTCGGTGTCAGCCTTATAACAAGCGCTTGTTCGATAACTACGATATTACCGGTGTAACTTAAACTTTCGGAATGGGTTTAATGGGTCATAAGTCTTCATCAACATGTCAATTTTGAATTTTGCAAGCTGTGTACTTAATTGGCTTACTATTTAAAAAATCATAGAAGTTTGTTTTTCAAATTGAAAAATATACATATTTTATGTAGTTAATTGATTACCGTATTAAATTCACGGGCGTATCCGGGAGGGTGTGTGTATAAGAGACAGGCTCTAATCCCTCAATTAAATTAAATAGACCTGCTCATAGTAATCAATGATCAGTAATGTGAAAAAAAAACTATATGTGAAATGTAAGCCACCCTCTTTTTATTATGATTGACTGAGTGACGCTTGCCCCTCACCCGAATTTCGAATGCTGGGCGTAGAGTAATCTAACAATTCGAACCGAAAAAACTAAAATCACACTAAAATCATTGGCTTAAACAACGCTATTAAAGGAAATTTGACCCTAGGTTAATAAATCATTTTATTAATGAGTATAATAATAGGCATTTCATTGTTAATGAAATCAATTGTTAATTTAGAAAAATGATTAAAGTTGAAATAAAAAAGTATTTTGTTAGGCCTACAATGGTAACTCTCTGGTTATTTGTCTCGGGGTAGCAAATTAAAACACTAATTTATCACAGTATTATTTGGTATAATCAGGGAAAAGTGTAAATTAGCTCTTCCCTAGTATAATACAGTTTATCCTCCATGAAAGAAGACCACCTCCCGTGAGCGACCGCGACAACCTTTTGAATTTTGTATTTTTCTTATGATTTACTTCGCGTAAGCGACCGCAGTAAAAGTCTGTAATATAATCAGATTATTACAAACAAATACAATCAGATTATCTAACAAGTCGAACCAAAAATTTGACGCAGCGATGGTACACTCTCGTCAAACTACAATTATATACTTAAACAACGCTATTAAAGAAAATTTGACCCTAGGTTAATAAATCATTCCATTTAATGAGTATAATAATATGCATTTCATTGTTAATAATATAATAATTTTCGACTTATATAAACTAATATGCCTCTACGCGCTTTACATTATTACCCCCGGTCACTGGATCAAGCACATGGAAACACTCATCCCCCATAATGTTGCAGCTGTATGTAATGTAATCAGCGCATGGTTGTGTTTGAACCTACCAGGTACCCACTTGTACTCCTGTGTGGAGAGAGACAACCGTAGATAAAGTGCCTTGCCCAAGCGAAGTTTTGAACCTCCGACCTCAAGGTTGAGAGTCCAATTCACAACCAATGCCCCAACCACTTAATGAAATCAATTGTTAATTTAGAATACTTCGTAACAACAAATCAACTGGCATTGGAAATATTATCAATGAATATTGTTTATTTGGTATAAATACTTAGAATCAACAAAAATGCTGATAAACTTTAAGTTTACAAAAGTTCTACAATTACAACATTCAAAATACAAAAGATAAAGATTAATATGAATCGATTGCCAAGTGCACCGGTACAGGCATTTATAATGCGCCTCTTCCTTTAAGTTAGAAAAGTGGTCACTGGGACCACACTCTGTTCTGCTGGTAATCACCGCAGGAGCAGGAGACCCCACAGAGCCCACAAATGTAAAAATCTACCACAAATGCAAAAATAACCACAAATGTCAAAACATTCCACCCGCAAATGTCAAAATAACTGCAAATGTCATAAAATGTCAAACACAAATGTAAAAATAACCACAAATGTAAAATAAAAATCGCCCACAAATGTAAAAAGCTGTTTAACCACAAATGTAGTAACATTTCATCTACAAATGTAAAACTTTCTATTTTTGCCTTAAATGTCATAACATGTCAACTGCAAATGTAAAACTTTTCCCAAGCACTTAAATTCTTAAAATATTGAAAGACCCTAATTAACTGTTATAGTAGAGCAGCTAAGGCCCAAGCTGTGCACTTTTTACTTGGCACAAAATATCTTTGATATGTGTATATTTAAAAAAAATGTTTGCCAATAGTTTCTGACACGCCTACTATGGCCGCCAATTTTAATTATAAGGCCCATCTAAAAGAAGGGATCATATATCTTGGCAACGGATAATCGTAGAGACTTAATTTTTTTCTCAAATTGTTTGGAACATACATGTTTCTATTTGCACTAATGCAATGTTTTGTCCAAAAGTGACCGGAAATGACATTTATAAACTTTTACTTACAAAACTTACAGTACGGTATATCCCTATCGCTATAACCGTTAATCATAGAGTCCTAATTTTGGCCTTAAATTGTTCAGAACATGCATGTTTCTATTTGCACGAATATAACCTTTTGACCAAAAGTGACAGGAAATGATCCTTCTGACCTTTGACCCTATGTATAACTGTAGCATATATATCTTAATAACTGTTGGTCATAGAGACCTAATTTTGGCCTCAAATTGTTTCAGAATATGCATGTTGCTATTTGAACAACTGCAACATTTTGTGACACGAAATGACATTTCTGACCTTTGACCCTAGGTACCTCGTAGCATATGTATATCTCCATAACCGTTAGTCATATGGACACTTAAGTTTTTTGGGGAAATAATGTATACGTATATATTTGCTTTTAGTCCGAAAGTGATCGGAAATGACATTTCTGATATTTGACCCTAGATAACCAGCATAATTATACATATCTGTATATCAGATATATATGCTCTAATCTATAGGCTCTATTGAAGAACTTTGTCCCATGGTCAACGGATATAGGCTATATCTAACATCTGACTTAACTACCTTAAAAGATCGATCAAATTCTTTATAAATTTACTCACAGTTTTACTTCTCTAAAATTGTAGGGTCTTAAATGCCTGAAAATGCTTCTATTTACCTTAACTGAAAATTTTGTTGGAGAATACTGAAAATGCTTACTTTGATCTTTGACCAAAAACACTCCATATTCATTTTATTAATCATTTATTTATTTTATTTCACCCAACAGCGTGAACTTCAATAACAGGGAGCATAAATATAATACAATATAAAATCATGAGAAACCTTAAAAAATTTCTTACCTTCAATATTATTTTTGTTTTATTAACATAAGAAAAAACGTTTCTTCTATAATCTATATGATAAGCCTGCAGCTGTAATACATTGTATTGATTGGTAAGGTGGAGACGCCACCTTAAGTGTACGTGCGACTAATAAAATGTAATTAATGATTTGTTTGCTTTTCTAATATTTTTATTATAACTGCATAATAAACAAAAATATCAAATTACATTTATTCTCGTGCTTTCTTTTGACAAACATTTGTTTGAATAAAACAGTTTATTTCAAGTTGTTTATTCAGTACATATAATAGTTCATTATAGACATGTTTTTAGCCATAACCACATCCCAGAAATCCTGGGATACCGGGATTTCCAGCTGAAAATAGAATGCCTTTAACCATAAGTAGATTTTAAATAATATCCTCCAAAGACGATGGATGTTTGTGCTGCCTACTGGCAATTTTTTATATGTTTACATAGGTTGCGGTAACATCCAGGGACATCCCATTTGAGATTATGTTTCACTTCACCATTACCATCCATGAAAAGGGAAGTCATTGTAATGACGTGTAGGGTATTCTTTTAGATATTTTCACTATTTAAGAAGATTCTGATGCCAGTTTGTTACCCAAGGGAGTTCAGCGAATTGTGAGTTTGCTATTGGTTATTGTTTAAAGTTATATAAGTTGTATTGTCATTGTATTTGCATCGTAGGAGTGTAGCGGGCCTAACCTATGTTTTACACTGCAGCCATTTTCCGCTACCTATATAGATAAGAGTAGCCGGTGAGGAAGTAGTCGTAATCATGTTTAACTTAATTTCATTCATAACGTCAGAATCATATGAGGCCCAAGCCCAAAGGAAAGCTTAATTAACACTATTGTTTAATCATAATACTGTAATGATATATATTTTTAATGCTATAGAGTTTAACATAGTTGTTAGTTAATTGGCGTTTATTACCGAGTACAATAACATTACTCGACGAGTTACTCTATGCATGGAGGTATAAAAATATATACCTTCATGCTCTATGGTATTATAACCGCGTGTTAGTTTATGCCCGAACTCGAGCGGTCCTATTGAGGGCGCTCTATGCCAATGTTTATATAGATACAGTAGTACTGGATTTATATAGGAGTAATACATGCTGAGTTGTATTTTCTCTTTGTTTATTCCCAGTTACCGTTTGTTCTTTGAGTGCTTAATAAAATGCAGAGTTTGAATAGCAGTCTACTTTGTTTCTTTTGCGGGTGCTTAAAAACAAGTGGTTATCTAGCTGGATAGCGGTACAGCTGAGTTACCAGCATAATGTTTGACAGATGTTTTTATGGCTCCTCGAGCCACAAAATCAGAAATGCAAATATTTATCTTTTTGTTTTTATTTATATATTCATTAATTTGTTACTTTTATTTGAGGTGGCATTTCTACAATACCGTACAAAGTATTCACACTGAGGTTTTAAGTTATATCAGACAATTGTGACCAAAAGACCAAAAAAGGTCTGTAAACTCGTACTCTATCAAAATAGTTTTCAATGTAAATGTATAGAGCACATAATTAACTTTAAAATGAGGGCTCAATGATCTCAATCGGACAATTATAAGTAAAGTTAAGGTATTTTGAACTATAACTATTCCCTATAAACTGGCCTATATAGTTCTGAGATAAAAAGGCTTTATAAGTACTGAAGAAATAGAAGAAAAATCACAGCAGGAGTCACAGAAACTCCATAGAAACAACACAGTTCTCATTTGGCTATTGCGATGACATTTTCTACAGTTGCTGGAAATAGGTTGGGGAACAGACATTTTTTATTTTTAATTCCATATCCCCAGGGTTTAATTAGTGATACACCGGGGCAAATTGATTATACCTTTATAAAGCTGAAGCATCCTGATTATTGCATCCCCAAAGTTCTGATGAATTTCAAGATATGAACTGCTTCGTATGTTTTGAATTCAAGGTTATTTTCTTCATTCTGGTATATACTAAATATATAGTCCGTACTCTGCTATGCTCTACAAAATTACTTTTGAAAGATATTTCTAAAACGGCATGCATGTTATAGTAGTATATATTATAGATTATTTGTTTTAACCATTTTGTACACGATTTGAATGACGTTGTGTAAAAATACGGTACTTCATCAATACGTTTTTTCTACATTGCTGAAAATAGTGCCGATGATTGTTCTATTGGCGTCAATATATTTTTAAAGTTTCAATAACCACGACTAGTTTCATACTCAACAGCAATCTACATCATTTCTGATCCGCTTGACTGCCAGAGGGCAAGATGATTGTTTACCAAACCTTTTCTTCGTACAATAGTACAATCGCACTACAAATACTTTTGAAACAAACTTTAAAGTTTGTTAAACTATTTTGTACACGATTTTGAATGATTTCATGAATACATTTAAATTTACTTCACTGCAAAAACTGAAATATTCTCAGTAGGTCTAGACTGGCTCTGACCATTTTACTATTTTGCATACGAGTACTAATAAACGTATTATCTGATAGTTTTCATTTATCTAGTTGGGGGTCTGAGTTTGTGTAGTGAATAAGTTTTCAATGGTCTAATGTACGTCTGAGGAGTTCTAATTTTTCTTTTCTTTTTCTAAACAGCCATAAAATAGGCGGTGGAACAATTCGAGAGTGATTAATTACATTAGGAATAATGAGAACGAAGTGGACCATCATAAATGGAGGCCAGGGGACCAGAAGAGTTCTGTGATAAGATAATTTGGCTTCATAGGCCTACCTTCCAATTAAAATATCTACAATAATTGTTTCATATGCGTTCCATTAATTTCGAGTAATGCTAATAGGCCTGTTAATGAAGCACCACGCTGCTACCATTGAAGGTGTTTCACTATTTGTGTAAGATTCTCTTGGTTCGTCTGGGTTTATTAATAGTTTTTAGTGAAAATAAGCGTGCGGGGCGGAGTGCGCCGGTAAGGATTTAATTGAATAAGATTTTTAAATATTTTTAAAATCAATATTTCACACGACGCTCCTCTCAAGGCACAGCCTTAGCATCAAGGAGCCTCCAAACATATCAGAACTTTATTATTATTATTATTATTATTATTATTATTATTATTATTATTATTATTATTATTATTATTATTATTATTACTGTTGTGATGAAAAGTTAACACAAATGCTTAAATGAAAACAATATGGTGGCTAAACGAACATTACATGTAATTTTTTTTAATTTGTTTATTCCCCGACAGAATTTACTCGTCTTCCCCGTCAAGGGGGGGGGGGGCTGGGGTGGGGCCTTTGGCGCCACCACTGGATTCAATAATCTGCTGTATCCCTTGCTGTGCCATATTTGATAGGTGATGGTCTGCGACCTGTAGACCACACACAATAGGCCCTAATTGTAACTTAAAGAGCACTGGTGAATATTTATTACTTCGTAATTTGCATAACGAATTATTTATAAGCCATGGCTTCCTACGATGTCATTATTTATGTATAATGGCACTCTACCTCAACGGTTATTCATATATAATTGGCAGTAAGGAACCATTATTTAGATATAATGACCTTCACACGATAACACGTGTACATTATATACATATAATGAGTTTGAAGTCCAAGCATTATATACATAATGGTTTTGCGACAGCTATTATTTATATATAATGAAATTTAAAAGCAGTTATTTATATATAATGAGTTTGAAGTCAATTCGTTATTTATATATAATGAAATCAGTGAACTTAGTATATATAAATAATTGAAAGTTAATAATTTTTTATTATTTATATATAATGATATGTTATCTTTTCATTATTTATATATAATGGAATCAGTGAACTTATTATATATAAATAATTGTAACTTACTTTTCATTATTTATATATAATGATGTGTTACCCTTTCCTTATTTATATATAATGAAACCAGTAACCATATTATATATAAATAATGTTTGGTTACCCTTTTATTATTTATATATAATGAAATCAATACACTACATATATATAAATAATGAAAACGTTAACGCAATTATTTACATATAATCTTTTAGACGTAAGTGCATTATATATAAATAATGGGTGATCTATTCAATTATATGTTAAATAATGAATTATATATAAATAATTGTGTTAAATAATAAATTTACACTTGGCGCCTCATAAAACCCCACAGATACAGCATAGCACACAGCACTCGCGGATAGGATAGAATTTTAATTTCGGACGAATCCATTTTATTATGTGGTAATCATGGTTGTTGAGGGTTGGTTGAATTATTAATAAATTTTATTATTTTTACCTGTTCATATGAGGAATATAAAAGCGGTATGAGAGCTGATATATTAACCTTCTTAGATCAAAGTTATGCTAAATTATGCTAAGTTTGCCAATCCTAACCGATTGCCGGAAGTAAACAAGCACCAAGCAACCAATCGGAACGATTATATCACGTGATTGCTCTTAGGCAATCATGTTATGTTTCTTTCGTCCTTAGATACCTGTTTACATTATTAAGAACTTTTTTATTGAATAAAACTGATGGAATATATTACCTAAGATAGAAGTAACCTAGCACATCATACAAGAGATATATATTTCACAGAATAAGAAAAGGTGGCGACGACGCGTTGTTTGGAAGCGAAGTATGGCGGCTTGAAATTCGGTGAATTTATTTTAAAATGAATGCATATTTATGACTGTTTATATACGTGTCTCGTAGAATGGCCTTCATAAAATGACTAAATTTTATGGTTTAGAGTTGGAATATTGAATAAAAACTTCAAAAATAGTAAGATTAAAGGTAATACTTTATGTTTATGACATAATCATAGTTTGCTCAAATTACATGTTATACTGTCTATTTGGCCCCTTTTCTCGAAACCTGGTGATCTAGTTTACAGCTAGCCATTTCGCGGTTTTGGGTCACAATTTACAATTCGATATGTTCTATATGTAGATTAGGATCATCCTCACAGTCAAGGATCGTTTTGCGTAAAACAAACACAACTTTTTATGATGATTGATCCTTGGCTTTTGCACAATTTCACTTCAAGAAAAAGTCTTCTCAAATATATCATGCTATCTGCAACATTACCCGACCAATTAATTAGTTAAAAACTTGTAAAAAAAATGTATATCTTCACAACATCAATTTGCCTGTATTTTTTCTTGGGACTTCGGTCTTGGCCACCATCCCAAATTAAATGTCCTGTATTGGAAGGGCAAATACGTATCTCATGCCCTTACTCGAGCCACCTAGATAGGGTCCGGGATTGGGTTAGGGTGGTGACGGTGACCCCTCAGAGATTCGGTATACAGCGTTTGTGGCGATTTTGCCAGGACCGTGATCAATAATGGACATCCATACACAGTGAAAGATCACACACAGAGACAGACACATGTGTTTCCATCCGCCATCTTTTATTATCCTCTCCTCTTCGTCTCATAAATACAGCCCTCTCTTCCAGAGGGCACCCTGCTCGTGGCTGATCGCCACATACTCATTTTTTGTGTGCCATTTCTTCGTGTTTTGTGTGTGTGTGTGTATTTGTTTATCTAAATATTTTATTTATTTTATAATGTGAAGCAAAAAGGAATTTTTGTGCATTATGCGCTTGAAGTCTACAAGTGTCTTCTTATTATTAC